AATCTCCCTAATCCTGGCTTTATTTAAAGAATAAAAGTTTTCACACTTTCTCAGTGTGAAACAACTTAGTTTTAAACACATTTAGCTGAGAACAAGAGCAAGCCACTTCACAAGTTACTTCTGTTAAGTTTAAAAATTGTGACAGTCCTGGATTGGATTCATCCCACGAAGGACTCCAGAAATGGGAAATCACTTTGGAGCAGGGGCTCCCAAGTGCCACATCCACATGTCTTTTAAATCCCCCCAGGTTGGGGACTCCACTACTGCCCTGGGTAGCCTGTGCCAGTATTGAAAGAAACCCAATCATTTCATAGTAAGACTCATCTATTCGAGTCACCTAGAATTTCAAAACTAATGTGGGAATGGTTCCATGTACTTTCTTCCTGGTTGTGATGTCCCAGGTTCCACTGACACAAACTCCGCAGGACTGGGACAAGAATAAAAAGGGCATTTCCAGGGCACTTCCCCCTGGGTTGAAACCCCACAGAAGGAGCTCCTTGACAAGTGTTCCTGCGGATACTGATCCATCTGGTCTCTTGATGGAGGGGACAATGGTTGCCCTGGCATCTGGATACAGCCAAGCCTGGGAGTGGCAGCAGGAGAGGGACAAGCTGTGGTTGATGTGGTGGGAGTCTCCTCCTGACACACACGGCAACTTGGGTATGGAAGCTCAGAAGTTCCTTTTAGAAATGCTTTGAACTGAATTCCCTTTGGGACCAAAAGGCTTTTAGCTGTCAGCCTGGCTAATTTATCCCAGGATCTTCAAGGCTCTGCTCCAGAACTTCCATGGTTCAGCCTGGAAAAGAGAAGGTTCTGGGGAGACCTTGGAGCCCTTCCAGTGCCTCAAGGAACTCCAGGATATCTGGAGAGGGACTTTGGACAAGGGCCTGGCATAACAGGCCAAGGAGGAATGGCTTCCCACTGCCAGAATGCAGGGTTAGATGGGATGTGGTGAAGGAATTCTTGGCTGTGAGGGTGGTGAGACCCTGGCACAGGTTGCCCAGAGAAGCTGTGGCTGCCCCATCCCTGGAAGTGTCCAAGGCCAGGTTGGATGGGGCTTGGAGCAACCTGGGTTAGTGGAAGGTGTCCCTGCCCATGGCAGGGGGTGGAATGAGCTGAGCTTTATTGTGCCTTCCAACCCAAACCACTCCATGATTCCATGACTGGGGTGGTACTGCTGGGCAGAGCACCTTTGGGACGGGAGCTGCTCCTGGACCATTTTTCAGGGAGGTTTTTTTTCTTTGAACCTTGCTCAACATTATGTGTGTACCCAACACTGGGGTTTTTTTCTTTCCCGGTTGTGTTTCCCTCCTTTAGACTGACCTTTCTCCAACTTCTAAGAAAGGTCTCAAAGGTTACCAAAGCCTAAAACAACAGATTTAGCCAGCTCAGCTGGGAAGTTTGTGTTTCTTTAAATTCTTGTGCCTTTCCTAATCACTTAGAGGTTTTTTCCCCTAATACATCACTGCAACCTGACCCTGTGGAGCAGAGCTGATCAGAGGGAGATGAAGGAAAGGCTCATGGAGACAGGAGTCATCTGAGGACAAGGCAGGACTCAGAGCACTCCCCCAGTGATGCTCTGCTGTTTGGGAGCAGGAGGTGTTGGCACGGGATGGTGTTGGCAGGCACAGGGAGCAGAGCCCTCAGTGCTTCCCTTTGGAGCAGGAGCCAAGAGCACAGTGGTGTCCCTGGGATGAGAGACCACTGTACCCACAGGGGCTGCAGGACCTGCTCCCTCCCTGGGAGACAGAAGGCAGGAATCTGCAGGAGGAATGTCTCCTAAAATGCCATGGGGGTGTGTGTGAGGGGCAGCAGGAACAGCAAAGTGAGACAACATTTACCTGACAAACAAGGAGCGTGGGCAGCAGGGGAGGGGGGGATTCTGCCCCTCTGCCCCCTCAGGTGAGACACACCCCCCCTGCAGAGCTGCTTCCAGCCCTGGGGAACAACAGCAGGAGGACGTGGAGCTGCTGGAAAGAGTCCAGAGGAGGCCACAGAGATGCTCCAAGACCTAAAGCCCCTCTGCTCTGGAGCCAGGCTGGGAGAGCTGGGGGGGTTCACCTGGAGAAGAGAAGGCTCCAGGGAGACCTGAAATCCCCTTCCAGGGCCTAAAGGGGCTCCAGGAGAGCTGGAGAGGGACTGTGGACAAGAAATGGAGGGACAGGACAAGGGAGAATGGCTTCCCATTGACAGCAGGAAGGGTTAGATGGGATATTGGGAAGGAATTCCTGGCTGTGAGGGTGGTGAGACCCTGGCACAGGTTGCCCAGAGAAGCTGTGGCTGCCCCATCCCTGGAAGTATCCAAGGGCCAGGTTGGACGGGGCTTGGAGCAACCTGGGCTAGGGGAAGATGTCCCTGCCCATGGCAGGGGGTAGAATGGGAGGAGCTTTAAGGTCCCTTCCAGCCCAAACCATCCTGGGATTCTAAGATTCTATGAAATCTCATTCCTGGGTGTCACAGGACAGTTTTTTCACTGACCTTGTGAAAAAACATTATGAAAATGACTTTCCTGCTCCCGTTTCTCATCTCTTGGAAAAATTCAAATCCAGCTGGCAACAAACAGCAGCTCATCATTATCCCTGGTACCAGAAGCACAACAAAACTATTTGCCCATCTCTTTTTGGAGATGAAATCCAACACTTTTCCTGAGAATACAGGAAAAAGGTTACTTTAATCTTGGCTGATGTGAAGTTCTTAGAGCTGTGACTTGAAGGTACTTGGAAAATTTCCCCAGGAACAGGAGAAGGTTGTTTCCAAAGACACTCCTGAGGAAGGAGAAGACTCCCTTGTGCTGGGACATCAGATCAATGAGCTGTGCAGGGTTGTCTGGAGTTCAGCAATCAAGGGGTGTCCAACAACCCAAAAGGCAACAGGAAAGAGGGAAAAGAGCCACAAAATGAACCAAAGTAGTTGAAAAAAAAAAACCCACTGACAAATAAAACCCACCCAAAAGCCATTTGTATGAATCTGTGGTTTATTTCTGCCATACCAAATGTGAAGGAGGGAAGAGAAATTAATTCAGAACATGCCCTGTGCTAAAGGCACCAGAAAGGTTGGACTGTTGCAGGAGGCTGGTCCCAGGGGGAGCAGCACCAGGGACCCTCCAGCCCCTGCCATGGGCAGGGACACGTTCCACTAGCCCAGGTTGCTCCAACCTGGCCTTGGACACTTCCAGGGATGGGGCAGCCACTGCTTCTCTGGGCAACCTGTGCCAGGGCCTCACCACCCTCACAGGGAACAATTTCTTCCAAATATGTAACCTAAATTTCCCCTCTTTCCATTTTTACCCATTATTCCTTGTCCTATCACTATGTTATTTACCTCTAAAATCTCCTGTTTAAGCCATTCCTGCCTCTCTGCCAAGAGATGCAGGGGAAGTGTGGGATAGAAAAGAGCAGTGGCAAACAACCCTGCTGCAGTGTGAGGGGAGAAGACGACAGGCAATAACAGCAAATTGTGGCAAAATTCAATAAAAACGTTAGTCACACAAGGGAAAAATCTATGGGAGACCAGGCCTTCCTGTAACGGGACAAATCTGATGCCTTCTTGGAAAGTGTTATGACTTCCAACCCTGGTTAGAAATGCTGCTGGCACTTTTCTCCCTTGTCTCAGGAGCAGCACTGCCAACTTGGAAGGGCCCCAGCATCACCAGGCACTGCCCCCCAAACCCGAGACAGAGGGGGAAGACTCAATTTGCCCCAGCCACGTGAACTGGGACCCAGAACCCCCCTGTGTGCTGGGCTGATCCCACAGCGTGGGCAGCAGGGGAAGGGGGATTCTTCTGGGACCCCACCTGCAGAGCTGCCTCCAGCTCTGGGGAACAACAGCAGGAGGATGTGGAGCTGCTGGAGCACATCCAGAGGGGAACACGGAGGGGCTCTGAGGGCTGGAGCCCCTCTGCTCTGGAGCCAGGCTGGGAGAGCTGGGGGGGGTTCACCTGGAGAAGAGAAGGCTCCAGGGAGACCTGAGAGCCCCTTCCAAGGCCTAAAGGGGCTCCAAGAGAGCTGGAGATGGACTTGGGGCAAGGGATGGAGGGACAAGAGAAGGGGGAATGGCTTCACAGTGGAAGGGAGTAGGTTTAGATTAAATATTAGGAAGAAATTGTTCCCTGTGAGGGTGGTGATGCCCTGGCACAGGCTGCCCAGAGAAGCTGTGTCTGCCCCATCCCTGGAAGTGTCCAAGACCAGGTAAGAACAACCTGGGCTAGTGGAAGGTGTCCCTGCCCATGGCAGGGGGTTGGAACGCGATGGAACTTCAAGATCCCTTTCCAACCCAGGCCATTCTACGAATCTCTAATATTGTGCCCACGTGTCGTCCCTGAACTAAACACACACCATGTGCCATCCCCAAGCCACTCCCCAGGGTGCTGCGAGGCGGGGTGTCCCATCCCGTCCCGTCCCCCCCCCGATCCCCGCCCCCTCCCATCCCCAATCCCGTCCCGGTCCCCTCAGGCCGCTCCCGGCCCTGCCGGGACTTCTTCCCGTCCGCTGCTCTCGCGAGACAACGCCGCCGGTGCGTCACGCGCCCCGCGCGCGCGCGCTCTGCGCTTCTCTACTCTGTCCAGCCCGCCGCCGTATCCTTCCGCGCTCTCCCCCTCCCCCTTCTGGAGAGTTCTGCACGGCGGTGCCGCACGACAAATAGTTCCCCGCCGCTCCCCCTCCCCCCCTCCACACGCCCCCCTCCCAGCCCCTCCTCCTCCCGCCGGTGCCGCTCCGGCCTCCCCCTTCTGCCCCATCCCCCCCCTCCGCGCCGGTAACCGGCAGCGCGGCCGGTGGAGGGGGGGAAGCGGCGGCGGCGGAGTGATCCGCGGCAGGCGACGCGGAGGCAGCGCATAAAGCGGCGGTGGCGGAGGGAGCGGAGGAGCTGCGGCACCGCTGAGCCCGCGGCCGCCACCGCCCCGACACCGGCTCGGCCCCGGCCCCGCCGCCCCCGGGGGGCCCCGGTCCCCTCCCTCCCCTCCGCTCTCTCCGTCCGTCCGTCCCCTCCCCGTCCCCTCCCCGAGCCGCGCCGCCGCCACCTCCGCGCTGCTCCTCCTCCTCCTCCTCCCCCCTCCCCTCGCAAATAGTCCCGCGGGCCGCCCCCTCCCTCCGCCCGCGCCCCTCCTGCCGCCGCCTCGCGCACACAATGGCGCTGAAGAGAATCCACAAGGTAAGGGCCGCACGGCCCGGCCCGGCCCGGCCCCGCGCGGCCCCGCACCGCCCGCCTTACATA